TAGGACTTCATCCACAGATTTTAATCTTATAATACTAAATAGGAGAGTGTTTCCCAGCCATACATAATCCTCATTTCCATAAAATATTCAGGTAGAAGAGGCACAGCTTCTTTATAGAAAGTCTTTTTAAACATTCCAACTTTCATAATCCTGTCAATCCTTACATTTTTATTTTCTCTCAGTCTAATTGTAGCCCACATGAGGGCTTCACCAGTGGGTTTTGGTAACTTCTTTACTTCTTGACTAAATTACCCACTCTTGTGCAAAATTCTTTAAGTCCCCAGTAAGGAGTCAAGCCAGGGAATCCTGGCCTTTTGTCAGTCTTTGTCTTGATTAGATAAAACAAATGCTGGTCAGGTTTGGATCCATCTCTAAATGCCATTGGTAACTTTAACCTTTAGTAACCATAGTTCTGACTATATGGACCTTTGTCGGCAAGGTGATACCTCTGCTTTTTAATATGCTGTCTAGGTTTGTCATAGCTTTTCTTACAAGGAGCAAGTGTCTTTTAATTTCATGGCTGCAGACATGGTCTGCAGTGATTTTGGAGCCTACTAAAAGAAAATCTGTCGGTTTCTACTTTTTCCCCATCTGTTTGCCATGAAGTGATAGGACCAGATGCCATGATCTTTGTTTTTTGAATGTTGAGTTTTAAGCCAGCGTTTTCACTCTCCTCTTTCACCTTCATCAGGAGGCTCTTTATTCACCTTCGTCAAGAGACTCTTTAGTTCCTCTTTGCTTTCTGCCATTAGAGTGGTATCATCTATATATCTGAAGTTGTTGATATTTCTCTTGACAGCCTTTATTCCAGCTTGTCATTCATCTAGCCCAGCATTTCACATGATGTACTCTGCCTATAAGTTAAATCACAGGATAACAATATTCAGCCTTGATGTACTCCTTGCCCCATTTTGAACCAGTATGTTGTTCCCTGTGCAGTTCTAACTGTTGCTTCTTGACCAGCATACAGGTTTCTCAGGAGGCAGATAAGGTGGTTGTGATCCACATAGTCTGGCTTTAGCGTAGTCAGTGAAGCAGAAGTAGATGTTTTTCTGAAAGTCCCTTGCTTTTTCTGTGATTCAAAGGATGTTGGCAATTTGATCTCTGGTTCTTCTGCCTTTTCTAAATAAATCCAGCTTATACATCTGGAAGTTCTTGATTCATGTACTATATGAAGCATAGCGTGAAGGATTTTGAGCATTACCTTGCTATCATGTGAAATGAGTGCAGTTGTACAGTAGTTTGAACATTCTTTGGCATTGCCTTTCTTTGGGATTGGAATGAAAACTGACTTTTTCCAATCCAATGGCCACTGCTGAGTTTTTCAAATTTGCTGACAAATTGAGTGCAGCACTTCTAACAGCATCATCTATTAGGATTGAAATAGCTCAGCTGGAATTCCATCACCTCCACTAGCTTTGTTCATAGTAGTACTTCCCACTTGACTTCACATTCCAGGATGTCTGGCTCTAGGTGAGTGACCATACCATCATGTGTATTTGGATCATTAAGACCTTTTATGTATAGTTCTTGTATTCTTGCCAGCTCTTCTTAATCTCTTGTGCTTCTCTTAGGATCTTGTTGTTTTTGTCCTTTATTTTGCCTATCTTTGCATGAAATGTTCCCTAGTATTTCCAATTTTCTTGACGAGATCTCTAGTCTTTCCCATTCTGTTGTTTTCCTCTTACTTCTTTGCACTATTCATTTACAGAAGACTTCTCTTATTTTTCCCTGCTGTTCTGTGGAACTCTGCATTCAGTTGGGTTTCTTTCCCTTACTCCTTTGTCTCTCACTTTTTTTCTTTTCTCAGCTGTCTGTGAGGCCTCCTCAGACAACCACTTTGCCTTCTTGCATTTCTCTTTCTTTGGGATGATTTTGGTCACTACCTCCTATACAATATTATGAATCTCAGTTCTTCGGGCACTCTGTCTACCAGATCTAATGCCTTGAATCTATTCTTCTCTCCTGTATAATCATAAGGGATTTGATTTAGGTCATACCTGAATGGTATGTTTTCCCTACTTTCTTCAATTTAAGCCTGAAATCTACAATAAGAATCTGATGATCTGAGCCATGGTCAGCTCCAGGTCTTGTTTTTGCTGACTGCATAGATCTTCTCCATCTTCGGCTACAAAGAATATAATAAATCTGATTTCAGTATTGACTGTCTGGTGATGTCCATGTGCAGAGTTGTCTCTTGTGTTATTGGAAGGGGGTGTTTGCTATGACAATACTCTGTTAGCCTAATCCCTTGAATTTATTTGTCACCTCCACTGTATTGGCTCAAAACGTTTTCAAGGCATACGTCTGATACAGTGCTTGTGTTCAAAATATATCATGTACTCTGAAAACTTAGGATAAGAAAACAAAATGGGTAAAAAAACAAGAGAATGGACAAAAGAGCTGAAGAGTCTCTTCATCAAAGATTTACAGATGACAGGGAGACCTGCCTGGAGTCCCGTGGTTAAGAATCTGCCTTGCAATGACAAGGATGCAGGTTCGATCCCTGGTTGGGAAGGGAAGAGCCTCCATGCCAGACAACAGCTAGTCTGTGTGCCGTAACTACTGAAGCCTGCGTGGCACAACTGGAGATCTGTGCACTGCAGCAAAAGATCCTACAGGACACAATGAAGATCACACGTGCTACAACCAAGACCTGACACGGCCTAATGAATAATAAATAAATATATATTTTTTAAAGTTTACAGATGGCAAATATATACGCATGAAAAGATGCTCAACATCATTAGGATATATGTGTAGTTCAATGCAATGGAATTGAGAGTCCAAAACTAAACCCATTCATCTATGGCCAAATGATTCTTGACAAGGGTGCCAAGACAATTCAGTGGGAAAAGAACATGTTTTTCAACCAATAGTGCTGAGAAAACTGAGTAGGCATGTATTGAAGAAGGAACTTGCATGCTTACCTCATGCCTGTATGAAAGTTAACTCAAAAATGGGTTATTGGCCTAAGTATAAAAACTACATTTACATATTCATAAACACATAAAACTTTTAAAAGAAATAGATATAAATCTTTATGACACTGGATTAAGCAATGTTTTCTTATATAGGACACCAAAAGCATAAGTCATAAAAGAAAAACTAATCTGATTTAACAAAAATTTTTAACATGTTTGTACTTTAAAGGACATCATCAACAAGGTGAAAAGCCTACTCAGAATGGTTGAAAATATTTGCAAATTATATACTTAATGAGGGACTTGTTTTCAAAATGTATAAACACAATAATAAAAAGAAAAATGACCCAGTTTAAAATTGCAAAAGATCTGAATAGACCTGTCTTCAGAAAAATATACAAATGGCCAATAAGCAGATTAAAAGCAGTTCAACATCATTAGAAAAATACAAATTGAAAGCATAATGAGATACCACTTTATACCTGCTAGGAAGGCTGCCTATAATCAAAAAGATGGACAGTGGCATGTGTTTATGAAACAACTGTCTCATTCATTGATGATGGATTGAAAAATTATACAGTCATTTCAGAAAACAGTGATTTCTTATCAAGTTAAACATACATTTAGCGTTTGCCCAGCATTTTAGGTGTTTCCTCAAGATGAATGAAATGAAAAGTTCACAAAAAACTTATAGTAGGATGATTATAGCATTTTTAGTCATTTTAACAAAATGCTGGGGGTCAGGGGAGAACATCCAGCAAATGTCCAGTACATTAAAAACATGTGGCGTGTTCAATACAATGGAATACTTCTCAACTTAAAGCAAAAGAACTACTACATACAGGTAATAACTCGAATACATCTTAAAAACATCATGTTGAACAAAAGTAGACAGACACAAAAGATTATCTACTGGATGAGTCCATTTATATGAAGGTCTAGGCAAAAATCTACATCGCAGAAATTAGAACAGTGGTTGTTTGGGATAAGAGGTGCAGGAGAGATTGACTGCAAAGGTGCACAAGGAAACTTTTTTGTTGTTGAAAATATTCTATATCCTGACTGTGTTGGTGGTCACACCAGTGTATCTGTTGTTCTTGTTCAGTATCTCCTGGAGTTTGCTCAAATTCATGTCTACTGAGTTGATGACATTATCCAACCATCTCATCCTCTGCCTCATGTAACTATAGATTAAATTGGGTGTATTTATTGAATGTAAATTAGACTTTAATAAATATGACTAAAACTAAAAAAATTTAAAAGGCACATGTACAGTAAATTCCCTGGTGTTCCAGTGGTTAGGACTCTGTACTTTAACGACCGAGGGTCCTGTTTCAATCCCTGATCGGGGAACTAAAATCCCACAAGCCAAATAGCACAGCCCTCTCCCTGCCCCTAGCCCCTCAAAAAAAGCATGTGTGCAAAAAAAATATTTTTTTTAAGTTTTAAAAATGTTTTATTTATTTAGGCTGCATTGGGTCTTTTGTTGCGTGCCCGCGTTTTCTAGTTAAAGCAGGCAGGGCTACTCTTTAGCTATTGTGCTCAGGCTTTCCATTGCGGTGGTTTCTGTTGTAGAGCCTGGGCTCTAGGGCTAAGTTGGCTAAGTTGGCTCAGGGCATGTGGAATCTTCCCAGACCAAGGATCAGAACCTGTGTCCCCTGCATTGGCATGCAGATTATCAACCACTGGACCACCAGGGAAGTCCAAAAATTTTTTTTAAATAATGAACATTGGCATATGCAATATGACTGCCATTAAATTTTTTTTAAACATTGGAAATGAATTAAAGTACCTATCTTACCCATGTTTTGGGGTCAAAGAAATTTTCTTTTCTGGACTGCCTGTCTTATGGTTATGATTAAATATAAATATATTTATATTTATGAGTGTTATCTATGACCTGTGTGTGAGTCCTGTAGTGTAGTGTAACATCATCGCAGAGACATTTATCAAGCTCTAACTTACGTTAATGGTCAGTAATAAAACAGCTTAAATTTAAGTGAATAAATAAAAATTATTCCACGAAAAAGGGAGTTAAGTGTTTTAAGGAAAGCTCTTTCTCCTGTTTTCTTTCAGCTTCAAGGTACTGCAGCATGCTGATTGAGGAAGGAGGGTTGCAGCATTTATACAACATCAAAGAACACGAACAGACTGATCCCCATGTCCAACAGATTGCTGTGGCCATTCTGGACAGCTTAGAAAAACACATTGTACGCCATGGGAGGCCACCTCCCTGTAAAAAGCAATCCCAGGCCAGACTAAACTGATAGCTATAGGTAATTGGATAATGGAGTCACAGAAATTCTTCTTGTGATAAGTTCACTTGGAATAGCTTACCCTCTGTGATGTTTGGGGGGTTTCTCTGATAAGAGTCATAAGATGAGCATGGGATTGACAATGTACAGTACTGCCCATGTGAACAGTCTCTGATTTGTCTTGTGATTTTTAACTTATTAGGCAAGAAGGGTCTCTTCCTTCATCGTTGCCTTTTAGGAAGATTTCCACATCTTTCAGTGTTTGAACTTACCTGTGCTTAAAATTCTACAGTTTTATGAAGTTTGCACGAACCCTTAGGCCAGACTTTTCTGATTTTTAAAGTCCCTTCCAATCAATTTGCAGCTTCAGATAAGCTGTTAACTTGATTGCTGGCACTGCTTCAATTGTAAATTTTATACTGCTTCTGTATAAAATGCCTTTATTCTCTGTCTGTGTATCTTTTATAAGATGTCCTTCTTAGTGTGAAAGAATGGAAAGAGTCCTCCCCTTGTGAAAGCTACTTACTGGCTAGTGCCAGGATGGCTGGCAGAAAATGTATTAAAAACTACTAAGGGAGAATAGAGGTTAGGAACTGGGAAAAGGCCTGCTCTTGAGGTATTTTTAAACTGGGACTGGCTAATCTTCTGGAACCCACCTCTCCTAAGACACTGAGCAGTAGCTTGTTCTTTGCATTAATTTTTGGAGGCGTGAACTGCTGCTTCCTATACAGACTGCAGGTTACTCTCTAGAAATATTTCTCCAAGCTACCACGGTGTAAAATATTACAGCATTCTGTGTTAGAGATTAATTAACTGTCTGAATCTCTTTATGTCATATTGTGAAAAAATCGTCTCTTGCTAAAACTGACCATTCTTTTTTCTCTATTTCGAAGTCATTTTGTTTGGTGGAATAGAGACCATATATGGTGTTACCTGCTCACTTAAAATAATAATTAACAACAGTAAATTTTGCCACAAGAAGTTAATTTTCTTTTGTTTCAAAATACATGTATCTTACTGTTTTCATGTTGGGGAAAGATATCCACATCTCACTGCCAAAAATAAATAAATAAAGAAGAATTAGATGATTGTTAAATGTAATGATTCTAGTTGCAATGCAGAAAAGGAAATATTTTGTGATAGGTTATTTTTTAGACAGTTGTCTTTTCTTCAGGAGAGTTGTTATAGTAAAGAATCAGTTATCAATAATGGCAGTTGGGAGGCAGCAAGTCACCAAAAGAGTTATTTTCCATTTTAAATTTTAGGTTGTGAATAAGGTTAACCTGCAGTCTTAGATAACTGCTTTTTTTTCATAGATGGCCAAAATGTTTTCAATAGAGATTTTAAATGGTACATTCAAATCATTGTGATAATTCAGAAGCATTTTTATTTAGAAAGGAGCTGGCTTATTAGTATGCTGTTAACATTTTGTCATACATGTTTCATACCACTATCATAATAATCATACTTGAATTATTTGGTACTCCTTCACAGAAATAAAAACTAAAAAAAAATAGGTATTTAGAATTACTAAAAACCATTTTAAATTGTGGGTTAATTCTGACTCAAGGAATTTTTATAGGTGTAAGATAAATTTTCACAGATTAAGTATTTCAAAGGAAATGGAAAATTCTTTTTAAAATGTCCCCTTTTCCTGGATTTAAATATATAAGGCAAAATGTAGAAAATAGGATGTCCTACAGTAGCTTAGAAGTTGCTAGCTGTGTGGACCATTTCCAGGTCTTCTGGCTTGTGTAGTTAAGGAAAAGCCTATTTGAGAAGTTTGGCTTTAAGTTTCTGTTGTATCCTATTCAAAACAAAAGTACATGCTCCTTGTAGGCTAATCCTAGGTTTTTTGTCTTTATAAATTGTTTTCAAATATGGCTAAAAATGTATGGAAAACAATTAACCCCTTCATTACTCAGAATAACTTGTTGATGGATGAAGACTCAAATATATTTAAATTGAAATTTACTATTTTGAGCACTGGTAATGGCCAGATACTTCTGAGTCTTAAAAGCAAAATAATTAGGCACATCTCAGATAGATAAAATTTTTAGTGCCTTTGTGATTGGGATGACTCTTAAAATTGTGTATCTAATTATGGCACGGAATTGTCTATAAGGTCTTAGATCTGACTGCAATTCAGTATATATATATATAAATTGAGGGCTTTCCTGGTGGCTCAGATGGTAAAGAATCTGCCTACAATGCAGGAGACCCAGGTTTGATCTCTGAGTTGGGAAGATTCCCCTGGAGAAGGAAATGGCAACCTATTCCTGTATTCTTGCCTGAAGAATTCCATGGACAGAGCAACCTGGTGGGCTATAGTCCATGGGGTCGCAAAGAGTTGGACACGACTGAGCAACTTTCACTCATTCATATATAAATTATGAGGTATAACTGACCTGTCTCTTAAGATAAAATCTATTCGCCCTCCTGTTTGCATTTGTACACTAGAATGTAATGAAACTTGGTGCCTTCAAGGGGTACCTCTTCAGTGGGTTAGAGGTGCTGTTTCAAGCACAATTTAGACTAGGGTTGAACCACTCATTGCTCAAATCATTGGTGCGCTCAGATATTGCAAATTATCACTACATAAGTCCACAAACAGCAAGGTTTAAACCTACTAAAGGAAATGGAATTAGACTTTTTAGACTACAGTGATGCATGTTGTTACCAATGAGTAAAACGAGCAGTCTGAAATTAAAGCAGAAATAATTAAGGTATATCATTCTTCCCATCAGGTAAATTTTGCCATTCTTGTTATACTCTAAATAAATCATTTTGTCCTTTTGCAGTTGAAACATAAATAAAGTAGTAATAAGTTACTTGACTCTCTGGCCAAATACTCAGTGGCTACTGATCTTAGTTGAGAATTTTAAAAATGATATCAGACTCACAGACCCAGGAATTGACCTTAAATGTTGCTGCTTCTCACTCCTGGACAGAAATGCTATTTGGTGGCACTAGTCAATTCAAGTGAATGACCCAGGTAGAGATGAATTGCACACGGCAACTGTGGAAATTTAATTTCATATCTTTGGTTTGCAAGCTTCCAAAGAATCAGGGATTCATGTTTTAAAACACTGGTCCTGAACATCCAGCCTAGGAAGTTGATCTTGCTGGTGGGACCTTTTGAGTTGGCCCTTTTTCTTCCCAGTCAAGTCACTTGGCTGTATTTTAAATTATGCATTGCTCAGGATAATATTGGGCCATCTTCTAGATCTTTGGAACACATTTTGATGAAAACATATTTTGTTTCACTGTGTGCTGAATTAGGGTAGAATCAATTAATAAACCATGGTTTTGGCTTAGTGCTTTAGAATGTCTGACATTGTGCCTCCCCCTGCTCTCCACCCCTTATGAAACACTGTGCAGCAGTACCCAAGGTTGAAAAAGAGGTCATGAGTAGCCAGGAAAATAAACTTCTGTGTTGTATATGTTGAAACCTACCATTCTCCTGCCTTTTAATAGTATGTTTACATTATTTGGTTATTGTGCAACTTTTATCTTGAGATAAACAGTATTAAACCGAAGGTATAAGTTAAAGGCAGTGTCATACTGTCAGCTGATGTGGGCAGTTTTATCTGTATGTTACTTTTTTGGGGACTTTATATGGCTAGGGTTTCCAAGTAGTGTTCTGAGACAACTTACAGAGAGGTTTGCAAACTTATGGTTTCCCTCTGAAATCCATTGTAGCATTGGATATTGAGTATTTAAACTTTACCATTTGCTTTGTATTGACACATTTTTCATTTTTTTGTGTTAACTCATGAACTGTTTATTTAAGTAATATGCAAATCCAAGCTTCATCCAGTGATGAAAATAGCAGTATGATAGAAGATTTTGCAGAGTGTGCTTAAAATGAGTAATTGCTTTATCTTTTTTAGTATTTCATAGATTTTGCATGACATGTACACTCCTAAGTATGCATTCTTTGGTTTCCAAATCTTAACTGAAGACATTCAATGTTCATCCGAGAAAGAGCTTTCTCTGCCTGTTTTTACCCTCCCCCAATATTTTTAATAAATTATGGGAAAATCAATGCTATTTCTCATTTTCTGGATGAAGCAAAGCTCTGCTGGCGAGCACAACCTAACTGCATAGCTAAACAGAATGGCTGTTAAGAATATTTAGAAAATCCAAATTTATCAAATTATGAGAAATAATAAATAATTCATAAATAATATGTGCTTAATTTTTGAAGTTACTCTGGAACATTGTTCAAATTGGGTTCTTTTAAGCTTATTTTAATTAGCTTAGAAGCAAGAAGCTACTTAGCTAATGAAAGCTGTGACATACTTCATAAAAGCAGGAAATTCTTGAGAGCATTTAATAATGGGAGGACGTTATGTCAAGATTTATACTCTCAGATAACCTGTAAGAATAAAATTTTAAATCCCTGACTTTTGTAGAATTCCCACTGTCAAATTCTCACTGACTTGTGAGTGTGGAAAAAGGTATCTTTTGCTTGAATTCAAAAAGAAGAGTTCAACTCTTTTCAAAAGATATGAAAAATTCATTGGAAAATATGTATACATTTCAAAGTCTCCCAGTTATCTGGACTGAAGGCACTGTTCTCACTGTGGCCAGATGAATGGGAGTGTCCTATACCTGAATCATGCTAGATATTAAATCAGGACATCGTTAGGTATTAATGTTGTGTGTACAGATTTTTGTTTGGGTTTTTTTTTTTTTTGCTTAAATAAATGTTACAAATTTTATGTAAAGTGTGTCTTGTCTACATTTATTCTAGACATTTGCTTTAAAATTTAAAAGTAATGCAGATTCCTTGGTCATCCACTTATAACAATTCCTTTCTCAATTGGCTCTCTCAAAGGCCAGTGGTTTTACTGCAAAAGTTTCCAGTGTTTTTTTTTTCCAAACTCCCTTGCTCGGTGCTGTTTGGGCTTCCCTGGTGGCTCAGACAGTAAAGAATCTGCCTGCAGTGCGGGAGACGTGGGTTCGACCCCTGGGTCAGGAAGATGCCTTGCAGAAGGGAATGGCTACCCACTCCAGTATTCTTGCGTAGAGAACTCCATCGACAGGAGCCTGGCAGGCTACCATCCACAAGATCACAAAGAGTAGGACATGACTGAGCAACTAGCACAAACACAGGTACTGTTCATGTGTTGGAACTTATATAAGTCCTTCAGAAAACTTATAGTTTTGTCAAGAAGAGGAAGTAGTAAACAGATAAATATTACATAACACAGACCACTCCACGGTATTTGTTTAGAGCCACAGAAACTATACCTAATGGAGGCTGGGCTCCCATCAGACAGCCCAAGAACACTTCTAAAGAGCATATCTGAGTTGATAGTCATTCACACAACTATTGAGATAATTAACTGGCATTATTGTTTAAGTGCATTTAGTGAGGGAGGCTCCCAAAACACATAGTATTATTAGGAACTGCTCACCCTGGCCAGGCACCACAGTAACCATTTGCATGAGTGATTTTATGACAGGAGGTCCTAGTAAGGAACATGGAACTAATAAGCCACCACCAGCCAGGAGAGTTTGGGAAAAGTCAAAAGGGGATACCACGTGTTGGACCACCTCCCCGAATCCTCACTGGTGTCCATCTTGGCTGAGGAATGTGAGCACCACCAAGAAGGACTCAGAGTGATTGGCCAAAGACAACCCGGAAACTAATTCCATCACCATAAAACCCGAGACTGAGCTACGTGGCAGAACAGGTCTCCCAGATTCCCCTACCCTACTGCTCTCCACCCGGGTGCCCTTTCCAATAAAATCTGCTTTGTCAGCGTGTGTGTCTTCTCGGACAATTCTTTTCCACGTGTTAGACAAGCGCCCACTCTAGGGCCCTGGAAGAGGTCCTCCTTCCTGCAACAATATAAGAAGCCCATGGCCAGGAAGAGTCCTTAGTAACTTTAGTTTCAGAAACCTCATTTTATAATTGAAGAAGTCTTAGGGAAAATTGTTTTTCAGTTGCTAATTCATGTCTGATTTTTTGCGACCCCATGGACTGCAGCACACCAGGCTTTCCTGTCCTTTACTATCTCCTGTAGTTTGCTCAAGAACTCATCATCATTCACTGATGCTATCCAACCATCTCATTCTGTCGACCTCAGTCTTTCCCAGCATCAGGGTCTTAATGCTCTTGCCCAGATCACACAGCAGGTCAGTGACAAATTCTGCATTTCAATTCTTACTTCCAAATTTACAATTATTTCAATAATAGCATGAGATTGCTTAGCTCTTAGACAATTGCGGTTAAGCATCAAATGAATGGTGCAGAAAAGAATTCACCAAATGGTCTAAAGTGGAGGTTGCCTATTCTTACTGATGGTGTAGGGCAGCATTAGTGTTTAGATGCCATAGAATTGTTGATGAGCGGTCACTAGAAATACTACTGCTTCACTAATATGCAAACATGAGATAGATGTATTAGAGTGATAGGGTTTTTAAAAGTATTTTATTTATTTTTATTTATTTGGCTGCACTGGGCCTTAGTTCCAGCTCTTGGGATCTTCAGTCTTTGTTGGGGCATGCAAGTTCTTCAGTGGCAGCATGGGGACTCTCAGTTATAGCATGTGAGAGCTAATTCCCTGACCAGGGGTGGAACCCAGGCCCCCTGCACTGGGAGTGTGGAATTTTAGACACTGAACCACTAGGAAAGTCACCTTTAAAAGTAGTTTTTTAAAAAATAATTTTTATAATAATTACTAGCTTTTCTTAACCTTTCATTGTCTCTCCAATAATTCATTCAATAATAACATGGTATCACTGTGGGCCACACATACTGAGGAAGATAAATACCTTTGGACAATATTTAACCAAACAAGTTGTTGAGCTGTGTTGTCTATAGCCAATCTTCAAAAGGAAAAAAAGCAAGACTTTCTCCATTCTCCCTCCTCCCGTACCCTTTCTAGCAGCTTTTATTATGTAGATTGGCCTAGTCTCTTGGCTAAATTTAAATTCTTTTCTTCTGAGTATCTTTCTACTTCCTATTCCCTATTCTTAATCTGCATTGTAAGAATCCAATGAATAGCTCTAGGTAACTGCATAACTCTTCAAATTGAGAGCAGTGGGTGAATGTCAGAAACCGTGAGTACTCACATTACTCTTTTGTCTTTTTATAATGTAAGATTCCAATGCAGTCTGAAAATTCAGCCTATATAAAAGAGCAAGTCATAGGGTGGGAGTATCGACATGCAGCTCTTGACTTCTAGAAGCCAGCCTTTGGAGCG